ATTTTTATCATATGTAAAACCATTAATAACATCAGAAGAGTTCTTTGAATAATTAAATGAAATTTAGTTCAATGCCTACTAAACACCTGACTTAAAATGAGAGCCCAATAAATGCTTCCTTTCCTTTCCCAACTCCCTTCCTTCTATATATGAACTCTCTTAGGCTTATGTGTGAGAACACTGATGGGGATCAAAGATACATTCTAAATTCAAGAAAAAGAGAATTTATTTTCCGGATGATCATTATTGCCTAAATCAAAAATCAACCAACAACTTTGGTTTTTTTTAGAAACATCCCTTTATAAAATGATACATGGTGCTCCAAAAACAATTTAGGCAAATGTTCACAAAAAGAACTTCTTTTTATAATACTATAAGTTTTTATATAATAATGATTGTTTATTTAAAAATAAGTGTTTAATTATTATATGTAAATTTTGTTTTTAATTAAAAATAAACATATTTTATTAGTGATATATATTTTTAATAATTTTGTCAATATTATAAGATAATTTAATTTAACATTAATATGCATTATTTTACACATAAGAATTTATATAATATATATAAATATATATATATAAGAATTTTTAATTAAATACCACTATTGAGACCTCCATATATTTAATAGGATCTCAGAGAATCTTGGGAAGTATGGTGGGCAGACATCTTTCATTATCCAGATGAGAAAAGAGGGACTCATTGAGGTAACTGCTTATGTGTTGCTGATGGCAGGCTGCATGTATGTATTATTACCTATTATTATTACCCAGTAGTTTTTTTAACTGTGTAATCTTGAATGTCCTCACCTTCTCCTATGGATTCTCTGCACATGAATGCTTAATGTGCACATGTTATTTTTCTTTACTACTTATCATTAATAAATAGTAGGGGGAGATGGATTAAGCCAAGACTCAGATCACCGCTCTCCTTATGCATAAACAGTGGATATATATATATATATATATCTAAATATAAATAAATAAATCGATAACTATATACCTGAGCTCTCCTTATACATACATAGTGGATATATATACACACATATACATGTATATATATATATATATATGTTAAATAGTGGAGATATATAACCTTTATAAACATCATCCTAATAAAACTATATCAAAATACAATTTTAGGCTACTAGACATTAAACAATAATTTACATAAATTTTCACCAACATTTTGGTTGAAGAAAGATTAAATTTGGAGAAGAGTTTTTTTTTTTTAACAGTTCAGACACATTCATATTTTAATAACCGCACTTTCAGTCAATATGGCAGATAGAAAAAAATGGTGGATGGTTAACAGATTTTATTCTCAGTTCTATCACTAGGTATAAGAGCTTAGGCAAATGACCTAGCAGGCCATATATAAATGAGAATATTAGAGGAGGTAACCTCTATAAAATAAAAATATTAGATAGGTGACTTCTAAATTTTCTCCTAGCTTTATGCCACTGTTACACACACTCAAAGGCTTATACTTTTTAATTGCAGGGTGTTATTATTCTAATATGGAAATATTGACTAAGTAAAACTTGTCAGGAGCATTTGCAGGTAAGATTTGGGGTATTTGCAGATAATATTTATTTTCTAATGAGCCACAAGGTGTTTTATTGGTTAAAATCTGCTTTTCATAAGAAATACTCTTACTGAAAACTTTTTGCTATATTTGGTTTTCCAGGAAAGCTAGGTTGTTAATAATTGTCACACTTTGAGTTAGTGTATCAACTCCCAGTTGTATTAAAGAGGATTGGGGAGTCTGGAATAATATGAATAGTTTCCAAAAAAGGATGTCTGAGCATCTGAAGGTTTTTTTTTAAACACATCCTCTTTATTATTACTATCTGGTGTAATTAGAGTTTATAGGGAGCAGACTATGAAGTTCTTGAAAGTACTACTGAGCTTCAGTAATCAAGAGAAAAATGACTCTAGTTGACACTTGAACAACATGGGTTGGAACTATGCAGGTCCACTTAGCCACAGGTTTTCTTCTGCCTCTGCCACTGCTGAGACAGTAAAACCAATCCCTCCTCTTCCTTGTCCTCCTCAGCCTAGTTAATGTGAAAACAAGGATAGAGGCCTTTATGATGATCCATTTCCACTTAATGACTAGTAAAAACATTTTCTCTTTCTTATGATTTTTTTAGTAATATTTTCTTAACTTTTCTCACTTTACTGTTAAAAATACAGTATATAATACACATAAAATACAAAATATAAGTTAATCAACTATGTTATTGGTAACCTCCATTGATAACTACTATTAGTAGTTCTGGGAGAGTTAAAAGTTAGGCGTGGTATTTTAGGACTTCGTGGGAGTTGGTTTCAAGGGTTAGCTGTATTTTAGAATTTACTTTCCAATGGTCTTTTATTCTTCTATTCTTATAAGAATGCATCTTATATTTTTATCTTTTATCTTATATTTCTTATCTTTCTTAAGCACCAAAACCTTTTGTGAGCAATAAATGCAATGTGCTCTTAATTAGTAACAGTATAGTAATATTTTAATCAATTATCAACTTGTTCTTAAGCTATGGATTTAAAAGCAAAATTGTAAGAGGTTTGTAGAGATTTCCTATGCTAAAAATCTTTCATTTATAAAGTTTGGTTCAAATACAATTCATAAAACTCATTCATAGGCTAGCAACACATGCACAGTCTATAGATAAAATGTAGTCACTGTATTATCTATTATATTCATCTGATATCATGTTTTATTCCATGTATTGTCTAACACTAACTCATGAACTCCTTAGTGGTTAAGACATATTAAGAACTCTTATATTTTGACAATTTCATTTAATTCAGAGTATTCCTTTTCCTAAATATCTGATAAAATATTTAAAGAATAAATTATATTTTTATTACATGAGGTTGAATTGAGTCATTTTTCTTTGCATGCAATTTATGAGTGATTTAGCATATACTTATTAATAGGTAATTAAAATCTGAGATGAAAAACTGCTTCAAACTATATAAAAATTCATCAAAAAGAGGCATGATTTCTTCTTTAGAAACATGTATGTTATTTTTTTTATGTATTACTCCAAATGAACAGAGTATCTCATTACTTGAATGACAACTCTCCTATGTATGCTATGCTAAATTCTATTTCAATACAATTGTGAAAATTGCAGTTCCAACCAAATAACTTACATAGGACAAACCTGAACCATAGACCAAATAACTTATACATAAATCAGAGTAGAGAAGGAGGCATCGATGATTGTTTTCACATGAAAGTATACTCAGAGGGCAGAGAAATTGTAAGGGAGTGAAGTAGATATTATTTAGTTCTTGTATAAAGAGCTTATAACAAATATGTCTGGTCCTGTCATTTAAAAAACTTCAACCATTTTCCGATGAATATTGCACAGAATTTAAATTATGTTTAAAAACTGAAATACATACATAAAAACAAAACTTTAAAACTGTCTAGTCTTTTAGGTGTTGAAAAATGTTTATTTTGGCTGAATGATTTCATTGACTATGTTAGGTTATTAAGATGATAAAAAATTTCTATGTCAAAAAGAAATTTCTCTCTTATTTGGTATCTTGTAACTCAGATTTTCAGAGTTTAAAAAATTATTATATATGACAGAAAAATCTGATTATTAAATTATCCTTGTACCCAGAATGACGTAAAAATGCCTATAACCTGCTCTGAAAACTCAAACGTTCATACATTTGGAGTTAATTGTTTAAGTCAAAGCACAGTTTTTAAAAGTGTGAACATTTCAAATTACAAATTTTTTAGATTTCAGATTTAAAATAAATGGCCATTCATAACTACACAAAAAGTAACTGGCAGAGTGCTTTGTGTGAAGTTGTAACATAATAATCTTCAGACAGGCAGGTAAAAGAAAAAAAATGTGTTCTCTCTGCCTGTCTTACAGAGGCAGAGAGAAATAAATAAATAAAATATATTTCAGATTCATTTCATTTATTTCATCATAATGATACTTAATTATACCTAATCATTCAAAATTAAGGTGTGACTTATGCATCAAAGTTCTTTGGGCCTAGAAAATTTTATTATTTAAGAATAACTTGTATATGCTCTACAAAAATTGTTTAGAAATTTCTACTTTTTATATCAAACAATGTTCTTTCCATTTAACTTGATTCTATTTTGATATATTTTAATATAAAGTTTTCATTTTGTTAATTTATTATACTATGTTTTACTCTAATATTTGTTTCTAATTTTTGAGAACTGCATTTTCAAACTCAATGGTATTAAATGTGATACAACGTGGGCCATCAACATGGATTTTGCTTTTCTATCTTTATGTTATTATTCTTAATATTCACATATGCAAAATGTAAAATTGCCTGCATCTTGAAATTTTTATAATTTCACCAATTTTATCATAAAGGTTGACACCAACATGTACTTAACTTTGCTTAGTGAAAACATATTTTGGAAAACTATTATCATTATCAAACAATAGCAAGGAAATACGTTTCTAGGAAATACATTTTTAGTTATGTTGTGAGATTAGAAACAAATGTACTAATGAGAATATGCTGCCGATTTTAAGCCTGCAGGTAGCTGCCTTTCTAAAATAATTCCAATTTAGTGATTATAAACAAACAATCACATCAATGCTATTTAAAATATTGTTTAAAATAAGTAAAAACTTTTTTTCACATATGGAGAAAATGAGGCACTTTGATTACAACTAGCTTATTACTGTTTTCTTCTTTAGAATTTAAGATGATACTATGCTAGCCAAAAGAAATGATAGAGTCACCATAAACATTTTCTGCCCCATAAATGTATCACAAAGATTACCTTGTCCTCTTATTTAAGAGGATTATAGGACAAATGATTTTCAGTTTACTCCAGTAAATTGAGAGACAGCTCAACTTGCTTACTCTGCTAATTTATTATCTTAGAAGATAGAAAGGTTAGTATTTCTATAAAAGACATTTATAAGCTCTAATTTTAGAGGTTTATTATCATCATTGTGTCATTAAAGTACTTACTGTTATATTAGGAATTCTGGAGTATGTTTTTCTTTGTGCTCTTTCTTTCAGAATTATTTTGTTTTTCTAAAAGGAAAACAATATATACAAAGGTTATTTGACTACACATAGTTCAGTATTATTTCAGATTGTCATACATATGTTAATTTTATTATTTAATATTTTTACTTAAAATCTTACTGTATATTCCAATAAAAATGTCATGTATACCCATATTTGGTATATATAGTATAATACATGTGGGTTGGATTTTAAAGTTGTTTGATAAGCTAGAGATCAGGAGTCTGTGGATAGTTTATATACTGATTTGTGAAAAGTCAATTATGCTTTCTATATTGCTTTAAATTGAAATTAGAATAACACTAATCTAGGCAGATATTATTAGAGAATATTACATTCATTAAAGTAAATCACATGATTCTTAGTCAAGTAAATGTCTAGTATTGTCTCGAGTATCAATATAATTATTACAAATCAAACTTGTATAGCCCATGTTACTTTTAAATTTTATATTTTTCACTGATATTAGAAATACTTCAATATGTTATTCATATTTGCCTATTTTAAAAATCTAATCAATGTTTAGATATAACCTACTAACTATTCTAGTACATAGGATAAACATACATGTATTTAAATATACATATGTTTATACACATTAATATATAGATATGTGTACACACACACACACACACACACACTCACACACACACAAATATGTTTATATTAGAAGCCCATCAGGGATTAGGAGAAAAATAATTGTACATCATTGCATAAAAAAGATCAACTTTCAGTTTAAAGAGTGAAAAAAATTAAATCCTCAAGAGGCAAGATTAAGAATTGCTTTAATGTAATAAAGATATCAGGAATTTCTGATTTGGTTTGACATGTTTACAACTCATAAATGAAAATTTCCATGGTTCTAGAGACAAGTACCTTTTCATGTAAGTTCTCATCATTTTTAGTCTTCAAAAAATTTAGGTATCATGAAAATGAGGAAAGAATAAAATATTTAAAATAGGTTTTATAATAGGTATGTTATTCTGTTCTTAAGAGCTCTCAAGGCATCTATTTTCAACAGAATTACAAAAATATTTTAACGTCAGCTCTAGCTGTTGGCTGACATAGCTACTCAGCAGAAAAGATCTGAAGTGACAGCTGTATTTCCAAAGCCGCATTTACTGCATCTGTTCAACACTTAAATCTTCCAGGTCTGCTTTTCCTTTATTCCTGCTTGAAACTCAACTGTTTCCCAGTAAAATCCATTAGGAAGAGCAATGTTAAAATGCACTTAAATTGGCCTGACTGCCTCTTAAAGCATGACTTTGAGCCACAATCAATTTTAGATATGCTTTGTATAGCTTTAGTATACTGACATTTCTTTTTTATTAAAACAAAAACTACAGCAAGATTCTGTGGACACACACATTAAGGTAAATAGAGTGACACAGAGCTTTTTACAAGAAATATGGGGGAAAACCCTGTTAAGGATGACAAGGACATTCTATTTAAAAATAAGAGAATACTTGACACTACCTACATTGTACATTATTACTTGCCAAGGGCCAGGCTTCCCAAAGAGACGAAGTGAAAGGATTAAACAGTTTTTATGACTTATGAGCCATCTGTAAGGATTTGATTTCATTTTGGTTGTGCATGCATATCTATCACAAGGATGAATGGGCAAACTTGTTCTACTGTAGGGGACAAACAACTATTTTATTCTTAATCTATGCTCTGAATATGGATGTGCACAGCATTTTTCTGGTAGCTAATTTCTGTCTTTTGCATGTATAAACGCTTTCTCTTTATTTTAGAGAAAAAGTGAATGTAGCACAGCATTATTTTGCAACTTCCATCATCTCTCTGACTTTTTGGTAATGTAATTGTTATTAACTGACTCCGATAATTTTCTCGTATTAAGGCTTGATACTTTTAGGTTTTTGTACAATACTTTTAAAAGAACATTAATCTCTATATGTTTTTTCACAAAATATTATATACATTCATAGTTGGTAAGGCTGATGACATTTTAGTATTTTTTTAATCCAGTTTTAGAAGCAGGATAAAACACGACATGGAGAAAAAATATCTGAGACTTAGGGATTATTATTGCTTTGACAGGGGCTAGAAAGCAAACTGCTCATACCCCGTAGCATTAACCATAGTCTATTTACAGAATTAAGCAAAACGCTGTATGATTTAGGAATTATAAATATACAAATAATTTTTATGGCATTTTGGGGGAGGAAGACAACTATTTATATTCATTTTAGTGTTGGACATTCAAAAGTGCATAGCTGTAAGTTTTTAAAAAGAGGACTTAATTTCAAGAATGACAAGTAACACATATTTACATCCAGGTTTTGCTTTTAAATATAGCAAGCATTTATTTTGGGGAAAATACTGATTTTAATTAAGACTTCAGTAGCATAGCACTGAGCTAAATATTTATTTAGGATTGGTTTTAAATAATGCATTGTGAACCCTTGTTTCATGGCTACTTATAAACACTATCCCTTTAACCCATAATGGACTAGAATGGCAATCCTAAGGTTTATATTTCAAAACTGTAAGATATTAATAAACTCAGAGTTTTCTGTCTTAGACCCTCTCCCACTGAAATGCCAAAACTCGTGGTTAGAAAATAGTTACAAGGTTGATGTGCACAGATATCCTTAGCACAGATGTCACTAATCCTAGGGGATCTTGTTACGTATCTTTTGGCTTAAATTCTTATTCTTGGAACAGCAGTCAGCAAGCAGGGATTATTTTTAAAAGGACACTGTCCAGATCATTACTGTGAATGTAAGCTTTTCAATACAAAAATAAAGTACTGTATGGCAATTAAATTCACTGCATGATTCTAGATTAGATCCTGGACCAGGGGGGAATAAAACAATTAGCTGTTAAGAACATTATTCGGACAGTAGAAGAAATTTGAATATAGAGTGTGATTTAGATAATAATATTATTTTAAAGATAAATTACCTGTATTGGACAACTGTTCTGTGTAATGTAAGAAAATGTCCTGTTCTTAGGAATATACTGAAATATACTTTTAAGTATTTAAGATAGGGCATACCATTTCTCCAACTTATTCTCAAATGATTAAAAAAATTTTTTTGAACTCTCTCTTTTATATATATATACACACACATCTATACATATAAATTATATATTATATATAAAATTACATATATAATATATAATTATATACAATTTATTCATATATTCATATATAGAGAGAATAAAGAGCATATATAGAGAGAATAATGGCATATGATAACCTGTACTATCCTTGTAGTTTCTTGTAAGAGTTTAAAATTGTAGAGAAAGAAACATTACCAAAAAAAAAGACCATATAACTACCCTTTAAAAATATTAAACAAAAATAAAATGCCATTTTCATTATCAATACTGTATTACACAAAACTGTGGCTATTTTAGTTTGTTCATTAAGCACAACATTATCTGATTGTGTCTACAGCTGTAAAAGATAATAATGTTTGTCTGAATAACTACTGAAGAGTATTAGGCAGTGAAAGAAAAGGAAATCATCAAGTCATAGAGTAAACAAAGAAATGTTCTGTAGTTACAGGTAACCACTGGAAGTACCTGTGGTGCTGCTGGTAGGAACAGTATAGAAGGCAATGGTACAGAATGTGGACTTTCTTGAAAATAAAGGTAGAATTCCAAAGGATTGTACCTCCTACTTAGAGCAGAAGAATTTTTCTATTTTTTCTCTTTTGTGTCTAACCATTGACAACCATTTAAAAGGCATAAGTCTACAAGCCTGCTCTTGTTATGATAGAAGCAAATATTTACCAACAAAGAATTTAAAAAGGGAGAGGGGGCAGAGATGAAGGAACTACTCATTTTTCTGTTGTGATACTTTATTATACAAGTCAATAAATATGAAAACATCTGTTGGCAGCCAGAGTTACAACAATCACATATTGGGTTCAATCATGTTTAACATTTCATTATACTCAAAATAATTATTTTAGAAAGGGGGGATGATAATGAGGCAGGATGGCACTAAGTCAGGAGAGCCAGTATGTACCTTGAAAAACAAAAAAGGATGTGAACTAATTAAGTGAGAAGCTTAGGGAAGTTAATTGGGACTAAGTGAAGATAAGGGCACTATCAAAGCATGAAAAAACAAAATTATTTACCAAAAGGTATAGCAGAAAGTCACACTGAGCACGTCTAACAGAACTTTGCAGAAATATGACCATCAGGAGCAGAACTGTGCCTAGGGGTGGGCTTTGGTTGGCCTCCAGTCCCTAGAATGGTGCCTGTCACATAAATAAATGTTTCTTCAGTGAATAAGGTTACATAATGACACAAGTAAAATTCTGTATCTTATAATCCTATTTCTGACTCTGCCTCTATTCAGTCTGTAACCTTAGGCAAATCACTTCATCTATTTTGACCTTGATTTCATTAGCTGTGAAATGAGAGAGTGGGAAAAGGTGATCCTCCAAGGTGACTTCTAGCTCTAAATATTTCTGTACACAGGTCCACTTATTAAAATGGACCATTGTGAACACTCTCATGAAACAGAATAGCCTGATATGAGTTATATAAAGAGATATGAGAAAAAATAGAAAATATGAATAAAGGATCAATGCACTGATTCAAATAATGAAAAATAAGTACCACTGAAAGAGACTTTAATTTAAAAGTGAGAATGCAAAAGGTAATTTATGGTTTTTGTATGCGGTGAAGTGACATTCACATGTACTATTGATACAAGTATGCATATGTAGAAATCTTTATCTGTTCTTTTTATTACAGACTGACACCACACAGTTCTTGCTTCCACATTTAGCATCCCCAAGTGAAGAGAAATGAAGAGTGTTCAAAAGATGCTACAGAATGGTAGGAGTTTATGTAAACATTCTTTTACTACAAGGTCATAGATTGAGACTGTCTATTGAAGAGGAGAGAAAGCTGAAGAAATTCTTAGCTTCTATATTTAATTCCATGAAGAGCTAATTCAGTACCCATCTGGCAATTGCTGACACCACCATAAAGCCTTCCATACCAACAGTGGCTTC